CTATGATGAAGTAATCTTATAATTCAGTGACATTTATACTAAGCACTCAAAAATGGTAAAATTAGAATTCTGAAACTATTATTGTTTTTTTTTAACTATAGATTTTATTACTCAGTATAAAATAATAAATTATATACTATATATTTTCTTTCTTTAAAATGTAATTATTTATAATCGTTTTGCCATTAAATAGTAATTAAGAATATATGAGTCAATATATGAGTCGCATGACTTAAGGCTATTTTTTTTCTATATTTACTTCATATTAAGAAACATAATTATTCTACTTAAGATTCCAATATTTTTAGATGTAAATACTTATTTGAAAATTACATAATTGATACTTCTAAGACAATACAAGATTTATTAAACATTTCATAAAAACATATTTTAACTTTAAAACATTACAGTTTAATAGTGTTATAGTACATATTTTTACTTTTAAAACGCTATAGTTATTCCGAAGTAGTTTTGTTTTACGTGATAAAAATTGTATACTTGTTTGAAACGCTTGTATATTTAATGGATCACCATAATCCATAAAATGGAATTACAAATATATAATACGTTCAGCTAGTAGTCAGCAGACAGCAGTCAGTATACCGATTATATTTATGTAGGTATACATGTTCCAAGCTGATAAAATAAATTGAGGATAATTAGAAGAGTATAGTTTTCTGAAATATTTTATTCAGATTATTATCAGGTGTAATTAATATTTAATTGAATGAAACTTTCGTAAATGAGCGATCATTCATGAATATACAAGTTATTAGATATTCTGAATTAAATATTGGTACAATACACATTGCATTCGACGTAGATAATTATAACATATCATAAAATTATATACGAATATTGGTATTAGGATAATACGATTATAACCTACGTCTATACTTCAATTCAGGTTTCTGATACTGTTACTTAAAAACTAGTTGTGCCTTGTAGGTATTCATTTAATTCCGAGGTAAATAAAGACTCAAAAGTACTTAGTTTTTGGCTTAATATATTTTGCATAACAATACATACTTACCTAATGATATCTAAGGGTTAAGTGAATCAAACATTTTTTTTTGTATGGTTGTTATATTAGATTTAATTATATACATTAATTGCATTTAATACTTAAATTTTAAGAACAAAGCCATATTATTATTTATATTATTAAATTAAATTAAATTAGTATTTTTATTTATTTGTTTTAGTATACATACACTATAATTTTGTAATAGACTACATAAAACAATTTTTTTTTGTTTTATGTTAGTACTGTTCATCAATTACTCAAATAAAGTCTTGAGTTATTTTTTAAAAACTGTTTATTTTTTACTTTGTACGTGTGAAACAAAAAATGATTTTCTTGAAGTTATTCAAAAAATATTAAACTGGGGTTATCAACAAAGAGTTTGTCTTGTGAATACTAATGTACTATACATCTACCAAATAATGAATATTTTTTTTATACACATTTATGTAGTATTTATATTTAGTATAATTTATGATACTTGTTAAACATTAACTCATTATGATTCTTGATAACTTGACTCAATACTTCTAAACTGCATAAAATATTCTCAATTTTTTTTTTCTACACTTCTTCACAACAAAAACTTTAAATATTCAATGTAATTACTGGCATGTATAACTTTTGATAAAAAAAATATGATCAAGTCGTTTTAGGCTTAATTTTATTTATTTTTTAAATAGTTGCATACTCATATCGTGAATGAAGTCAATAAAATTTATGTAAAACTGACCTAGTGTTATGTTGATCACCTAGATAAATTGTAGTTTTTAATAATGTTTAATATGCATTTTCACGAAAAATTAACACTTGACCTTTTGCTATAGTATTATTATTAATTATATTATTACCTATTTATTTATTATTATTATTATTTTTATTATTACTATTATTATTATTATAACATACCAATCACGGTAATTTAGATTTAATTACATACATTAATTATATTTAATACTTACGTTTTAAAAATAAATCCATATGGAATCTTATTTATTATTTTTAATATACGTACACTATGATTTTGTAATAGACTAAATAAATATATAAAAATACATAAATACATAAATACATATGAGTAATCGACCCTAAATAGTCGGGAGAAAGGCGAAGGAGAAAAAGAAAACCAATCATGGCCATTCAATTCGATTTTTATTGATTTATTTAGTTTTTATTCACTTGGGATAGTATCTTCGATGAATACTAATGCATTGTCCAGTTGTAAACAATTATTTTTCTCTTTACGCTCTAGAAATCAAAAAAATCCATTCGATCAACCATTGGATCTCCTACTATTTTCGGTTCAGATGTTTGGTTAATGTATGTGTATAAAATATACTGATAAATAGCCAGATCGTTTGTACGATGACGAATCAACGAGGTTAAACAAGCGAATGAACTCATTATCTTTTAATTATTATCACTAAAATAAAATCATTTTATCGTATATCTTATATTATATAAATGTTAAAAACAATTATAATTACTAAAACTCATTAAAGTATAATTTTAAGGTTAGTAGGTTATTATTATATAGCTAAACACGTGTTTTATAACATTAATTACATGAATTAATTATAATTACAATAATTATGTGTGGTACAAGTAAACAACCGTTTGAATAATTTATATTTAAAACGTAAAATAAATAGTTATATTGATGTAATAATCATCAAACTCATCACCTTGAGAATATGAGTAATATGGAAAACCATTCTATTTAAAAGCATGTATCGATTAAATGTCTCAAAATGATTCAACGGTAAAATATTCTATGACAATATTATGTTGAAAGTACGGGTATATGCGTGTCAATTAAATAATCTTTAAAACAATATTTTTAACTAATTTGCGAAGCATTTTTCACTGTGATATTTTGAAAATATTTAATTCTGATTTTTATACGCATTCCATTTGATCGTTCGTTGACATTTTATATGATCAGTAACATTTTTACAAAAATCAAACAAAAGGAGGCGTACCAGTTTCCGGCAATGTGTTATACATGTTTTGAATTGCAAACGTTTGACTAATGTACTAACCAGGGACAAATGGATGGCATTGAAACCGTTTCTCATTATTCTTTTGGTCCATTTTATTTCCTGTATAATATATGTACAAGTACTTTCAATAAATCATTTATTTATAAAAATAAATTTTTTATCATCACAAGGTCTATTTTTCACCACTTATAATATGAAAAAAATTATGTATTATCAGCTAGGTTTATTGTGTTTTGTAGGAATGTGTGTTTCGCGTGTACTTTAGTCAACGCAATCAAATTATCAACACGTTTTTGACTTACATTTTATTTTTGTATCGTATTTGTACTCACAATTTTCATTTATGTTAAAGTTTCGTAAAAATAGTTCTAATAACATTTTTAATTTTCAGATGTAAAAATGTCTAAAATCAACAAAATTGGCTAAAAATGACTATCGTCATTAAAGAATGTCCCGTGTTGGATATTTTTATAACTCAAGCGTATAGATGAAGTTTCATCCGGAGTGGATAGGTAATTAATATTATTATTAATTAATTGTTTTATGAATATTATGTAAATGTATATAATATAGTATTGTAATTTTATATATTTTAGTTTGGATCTTGGCGTGCATTTCCTTCGTACTGTGTCAAGATGGCATCGACATCGTTGATGCAACCAAGAGTTCCTTACTATCAGAAGTTTCAAAACTGCGAGATTTTGAAGCTACTTCGTCTCAAAGACCGACCTTAACAGCCAGAGAAGAGCAAATCGAAGATGAATTAATTAATAGTGCTACAACAACAGAGACATTATTGGAAAAACGCAAGTTTACGATTAGACCTTTGATAGAAAATGAAGGACACCGAGAAATCGTTACCAATTTTGACCGATTCGATGGAACCGGTCCGACAACTACGAGAAGTGTTAGTAGTACTTCAATAAACAAAAACAAAGTTTCATTTTCTTCGACTTTCAAAAAATATGATGGGCCTGAAAATGTAACTAATGTTGATAATGTTAATTTTACTACATCTTTTGATGGCCTTACAAAAAAATCAACTACCGATAATGGAGAGAGAAAAACTAGACAACGTTTAGATGGATTTAAAGGTGTTACGACAAATAGGGGGAAAACGAGATTTCAGAATGAACAAACCACTTCGGAAATTCCAGACCTTCTAGCTACGTTACGTCATAAAAAACCGATTAGAGTTAAGCCAATTGAGCAAATCATAAAAGAAGATGTTGTTTCTGCTTTGAATGCAGACGATTTGGTTGATACTACTACGGTTATACAGGATACTACTGAAGTTGAACAACAAAGACCCAAATTCAAAAAACCACCACTTATAGCGACTCACCATCCCAATTTTGGAACTTCAACTGAAACTTCTCGTAGACCAGCTATTAGATCAAATTTGAATTTAAAACAAAAAATATCTTCTTCTACAATTAAAACAAGACCACCTGAGTCTGATGCGACAGAGTCTGACAATACATCTGGCAATAAATCACTCGATATTATCTCATCTAATGTACAATCAAATAAAATTAGACCGGTTAAAGTGATTACGCCAAAAGGGACCACAACTGTTCAACAACCTATTCCACCTACTGCTACGGCATGGGCTTTAGCATCTTTAAAAGCACCAAACAACACAAATAAATTATTTAGAAAACCTGCAAATGTAACAAATGCTCAAGAACAAATTGCTAAAATCAAACCATTCATTACATGGTCTACGAGATTGCAAAAAATTAATGAGGAAAATTCAAATACTACTTCTATTTCAAATAATACTGTAGTAACCGAATCAAAAGAATTTACTACAGGAATACCAGTACAAAATATGTCGTCTATTAATGATTCTAGTACTGCCAATAGATTAACACCACAAATAACTTCGACAGAATCATTATTACAAATAATATCAACATCGCCAAAAAATCATGTGCCACAAGGGATCGATTCTACTGCGACTATTGTGGGTGGAGATACTGATCAAAATAAGTATGAAGTTTATGGATCTCTAAAACCCGATGTTGAAAACGCAAAAACTGTTATTGAAACATTACGTCCCTCGTCGTCTACAACACCTTCGGAATCGCAAAGTTCAAATCTGTTATTAGTAACATCTTATAAATCAATTCTAGAAAACAATAATACTTCAGGTATCCAACAAAATGTATTTACTTCGTCTGAAAATCCTATAATGGAAAATATATTGAAAAAAGAGATTATAAAAGATAATCTTCTAACAATGACGACAAACCAACCTAGTATTGTTCAACTCAGTGAAGAAGTACCAATCACCGGAAGTGCAGAAGACCATACAATGCCAATCGTGTCAACTTCAACCGAAATGATTAGTAAAATACCAGGACTGTTATTTGACTATTCAGAATATCATGATGTAAATAAAGAACCAACAATAACAACAACTGGAGTTCAACCAAGTAGTTCAGATGTAACATTTTCATTTTCTCATGATATTGATTTGAGTAATCGAAATCATTCAACTACTACTGAACAGTACATAGAAAGTATTAAAACTAAGTTGGATGGCAAAATTACAAAATCTACGAATACTCACGATTCACTGGAAATTGACGATTTTACTCATATGTTTTCATTAAATCGTCCGATTTCCAGTTCTAGTGATGGAACTAAAATTGTACCACCAATCTCAGAAAAAACTATATCGGGTAGGGCTTCGGATTTTGATGTTTACTATACTAATGACTGTAATTCGTAAAATTAATATTTGTTTTTGTCAACAGAATTACCCTTACCAACCAATGAAATATCAAATACGTCTCAAGTATACAGTTGGTCTAATGGCCCAGATACGTTTTTTACAGACTTCGATTCTAATTCAACGGACAGTCATGATAATACAGATGATGGCCAAAAAACTTTTGAATCTTCTTCGCAGAGCTCCATAGCAGTTAATGAGCTAACTTCAGAATCTGATATTTCTGAAAACGATGTTCCTATAATCATTACTAGTTCATCAACTACAACAACATCGACCTTGCCTACTACAACAACTACAACAATAATTCTAAAACCAACAATGAGAACAACAACAACTTCGACCACTCCAATACCAATATCAACAACAACTTCGACCACTCCGATACCAATAACAACTACAACAACTTCGACCACTCCGATACCAATAACAACTACAACAACTTCGACCACTCCGATACCAATAACAACTACAACTACTTTGAGACCATCATCTACAACAACTACAATCACCCAAAAACCAACTACTACGACCACCATAAGTCCCTCAACAACCACTACAACTACCCCCAGACTTACAACAACAACAACTACTACCTCGACTACTCCAATACCAGAAATAACAACAGCTACCCAAAAACCAACAGCTACGAATAACCCGATACTTATAACAACAACTACCAATAAGCCAAATCCAATTACTTCAAGACCAAAACCAGCAGTGGTTGACTTAACTTCGACTACTTTAGAACCAAATATACCAGCCGTTCAATCATTCTTAAAAGTTATAGTTAATTCAACTATGAAAAATATATGTGGGAGTGAAGACGAACTGAAAGATGCTATCATCAAACTTTTTGAAAGTGGAACAGAGAGGTAACTACAAAAATATTGCAATGTATTTTATTTCAAGTAACATCATTTTTTTTTTTTTTTATAAATATATTACAGCGTGCGTACGAAAAATCAAATTCGGTTTCTAAATGTTAACGAAAGAAAATGCTTAGATCCTAATGATGAAAAAAGTCCGGTGAGCGTGGAGTTCTATTTAGTTAACGATGATGGAAATTTTAACGCTTACATAAACGAAGAATTTATTAATTTATTGGACAAGCATGAATTTGACTACAAATTAAACGTATGTACAATAAAGATACAAAACGTATTATGAAATATTATTGATACAAGTTTGTTTCTTGTATATTGAAATATATTAAAAGTATAAATACAAGACAGAAACTATGAAGTATAAAAGCAAAGAATCGTTAATATGCTTTTTGAATACAATTGCATTTCTCAAGAGAATCTTGGTGTGTGACACAAACTGTTAATAATTTCATATTTGTTTGCTGATATATACCTAATCAATAATGTCACATTTAATAACATTCTTCTTGTTAAAATTTGGTTAATTATGAGTTCCCCAAAACTGTTATCTTGACATTTTAGACTTTTTTCATTCGTCATTCCGAGGCATTTACATTTCAGCATATACAAAACAAATTATATCACCTCTGACCACAATCCAGTTATTCTGAACATTAATGGCCAATCTATCTTCAACCCTCCTAACACTTCACTATCAAAAGATCCAGTAAACTGGAATAAATTCATGTCACACCTTGAAAATAATATAAATTTAATCTAAATCTCACTGAAAATTAAAGATGAAATAGAAAATGCTGCCCAGAACTTTGCTACCTCAATATAAATCGCTGTTTTTAACTCATCTCACACACTCAATGATTGAAACTACTCAGTTAAAAGAAATTTTTACCTTACCTCTCTTTATCTTACTCTCTGTATAAAAACACTAATTGCCGAAAAATGCAGAATCTGTTCTGGTTGGCAACGAACAGTCTCCCATCTGACAAACGAACACTAAATCGCATGTTCAGTACAATTAAAAAACAAATACAAACCCACAAATCTGACTATTTTAAGTCAAAATATCAAGTCCTAAATGTACATGATGGATCCTTGTGGGAAACCGCTCCAATTTGAATGAAAATTAAAAATCATCCATATCCTCTAAAAAAGATGACTTATTAGCTATATCCGACAAGAAAAATGCAAATATTTTCGGTATTCAACTTTCAAATATTTTTACACCTCATTGGAATATATCTCCTGATCAAAACAATCTTGACGATGTTTTAAAATTTTTAGACAGCCACTGTCAAAGTCACTTCCCGTAAAACTCATATGTTACAACGAAATAAAATATTTCATACTTAAACTGAAAGATAAAGTCACCGGGTTACGACTTAATTACCAATAAAATACTAAAATTTCGCCCTAAAAAATCTATAATGTTCCTTACCTACTTATATAACTCAATCCTAAAATTATCTTATTTCCCGCTAATCTGCAAGTTCTTAATAATAACTCATAAACAACATAAGCCGAACAAATCCAAAAATGAGGCTCCTTCATATCGACTAATCAATTTATTATCGGAGTTGGCCAAATTATCGGAAAACATTTTGCTTCGCAGAATCAGATTAATCACCCAAACTCAAAATATAATCCCTGATAATCAATTCGAATTTAGGTTCAAGCATTCTACCACCCAATATATTCATAGGGTTATAGACAAAATATCTTTCTCGTTTGAAAAAAAAAAAAATATTTTCCTGGCGTTTTTCTTGATATATCTTAAGCGTTTGATAGATTATAGTATCAGGGTCTACTTTTCAAAATAAAAATTTCTACTAGCATCACTGTACTTAATAATTAAATCATACCTCTCAAATCGCACATTTGTCGTCAGACAAGTTAACGCATTCTCTTTTTACTTCAAAATTCAAGCAGGAGTCTTACGAAGTAGTGATCAATCTCCCGACCGTTATAACATATTCACTGCAGACATACCAAATGTTGATAATATTCGAATTGCCATATATGCAGATAATACAAAAATATTAAGTGATCATAATGATAACACCGAACACCAAATTCCCCCATCGTTCAAAAAGACGATGTTGCCAAGATTTATTAAATTCCTAACCAAAATGATGTCTGAGGGTACTCTGTCATTGGACAGCCTCTCTCCTCATATTATTTCATTGTCATGTCATTTTTTTTTTATTATTATTAAATTTGCTTATTGTACATATGATACAGATTGTACATTTTCTATTTAAATAAAAAAAATATAAGTAAATGTATGAATACTTGATATTATTTTAACACTATTCTGTTATAGGTGATAGGAGTTGAGTTAATGCAACGAATTATAGAAAATGTTAATAATAATGAAAAAGAGACACAAAATTCCAGAGTGAAGGCTGCTATTTATCTATCATGCATAGCTGGAATTTGCTCTGTTCTTGTATTTATTTTGGTAAGTGAACAAATTTTATACTTATTATGCCCTAAGTATCTTGATGAATTTATTTCTGATCATTTTTATATAACATTTAATTTACTTGTATCATTATTTAGTTAGTTGTTCGAAAACGTCAAAAACGATTTAACTATGGCCAAAGGTGTACTCCAGTATCATTGGACGACTATAGCATGGATAATATATCGGTATATAACAGCGTCAGAAGAAAAGGCGTATTAAGGGCATCAAAACGATCTTATGGAAATCCTGCCTTTGACGACTCAGTATGTATTTTTTTTTAATTTGTTACACTTATATGTGTATTGTATTTAAAAATTCTGATATGGTATGTGGCCAGGTAGAAATTATTATGTAATTGTACTCTCATGTAGACTAACGATTCTCAAACTGGGGATCGCGACCCCCCTAAAGGTCGCTAGCAATCTTTATAAGGCCACCAATATATGAAATAATTAGTGAGGTGGTTTTGAAAATATTATCATTATAATAAATATTGAGAATTACAATTTATAAAAAATTAGAATTGTCATTAAAAACGTTATATAAATCATATTAATTTATCACTTATTTTTAATGTTATCAAAGTAAAAAGGTCGCTCAAAATGTTGGTGACATTGTAGGATATCGTGGCCTCAATAAGATTGAGAACCGCTGACTTAGACTACGTAGAAATCTAATTTATTTCATTATCTCAACTATTTGATTTTAAAAGAATATAAGTTCTAATAATTTATATTAATTTTGTACATGTAGATACATTTTATTTCAAATCTGACTATGTTAAAATTAATCAAAGATTTAAAAATAATCATATGAAATTATATTTTATTTAAAAATACAAAATATAATATACTATAAAATAATTAAAAAATATTTAATAATTTCATCAGTCAGCATTTTTATTATAATTTATAAATGACAAATTTGAGAAATCGGTTTTTAGTTAAAACTAAAAATAATTTATTTTTAAATTTAATTAAAAAAAAAAGATATTGAAAATATATTGAACATAAAATAAGTTTATTTTATTTATAATTTTTTATTTTATGATATGATTATAAATGGAAATTATTTTTTGAGATATTTCGAAATATTTCGTGCCCAATATTAAAATATTACATGATTATGACTATTATGAGTTTCATAACTCAAATTATTAAACATTTTAATTTAACTCATACAATATTTAAGTATTTCATTTCTATTCGTAGTACATAGTGTGATTATATTGATCTTTATTATCATATAATTTTATTCAGTATATAGTTTTCATTTTAGAAGTTTTATTTAAATTTAAAGTATAATTTATGTTTAAAAATATGGAAAATTGAATAATGATTTACCTATAAAAAAGACGAGCTTTACTCAACATTTTACCGGAATTAAAATAAAAATCAAACCCTCTAGTACATGGTGCAATTAGATAAAATCAATATTTTCAATTAGTATTTGTAAATAAAATGTTTATGAATAATAGTGAATTACCTGTGTATTATATACCTATACAGTGTATAGTTAATTTTCGAGACAAAATAATGAAGATCATTTTCTACTAGTTAAATAAAATGTATGTCGTTTGTTTTTTAAATTTGATAATTTATTCAAATTGCAAAAACTATGATTACATAGTACACATCCACGCCCAAAACGTTTTGCTTATTGAATCTTATCGTTGCGTCGTACTTCTATTAATCCACAAAAAATAATCGAGATGTGAGTCGTACGTGCACGAGAACTAATGAAACCAATTACACTATATTATGGTGATGTTTAAAATGGTTTTCTCCCCCTACTTTTTGTGAGTGTTTTATACAAACTATATAGTATACAGTACACACACACACACACACTAAACCATATTATACTTTATCGCTTCCCGTATTATTTGTTCCTTGACATGTTTGTTTCTCGTCGTGTTAGTCAAAAAGAAAGGTCGCCTATTGATAAATGAATTGCTCCGTCAAGCATTATAAACATTTTACATAATAATTTGTCGTAGTTATAAAAATAATGAATTATAATGACTTATTCAGTTCGAATTAAAATGTTCAGTTTATTTGTTGCGTCCGATAAACATGGTACATATTTGCCGCGTCTGTGTTATTTTAAATTTAATGGGAATCTCATTTAACTTTTTTTTATCCAACTAAAAATTATTAAAAAATGTGCCATTGGTGCTGCTTTCGGAAAAAGTACGGACGGACTGTACCAGCGAGAAGAGATAGCAGGGCTAGTAGGTCTAGTAGACGAGATAGTAGAAGATGGAGTATTTTTACAATTTTTATGAAAGATGTACTGAAATTGGATTGAAGTTTTGCTTCCATAGACATAAACTAAGTAATGTTTTTTTTTTTCATAGTCTGCTGTCTCGCACTCGTTGAATTTCGGTGGCTTAATAAGCTTCTCGGAAGATCGTCCGGCAATAGACGAGGAGTTTTCCAACATACCAGTAATTACAGTCAAACCAGATGAATTGCCACCTGGTGCCGAAACTAAGAACCGTTATGCCAATGTTATACCTATGCCAGAAACGAGAGTTATGCTTAATCCACGAGGTTCTGGACATAATTCTGATTACATTAATGCCAACTTTGTCAAAGTAATATTTCACACTAAATTTAACTACAGAAAATGGCCAAGTAAAATATTAACCACTATTCTAGGGTTACAAAGGTGCCGATAAGTTTTATATCGCTTGTCAAGCACCTATGCAATCTACTCTGCCTGATTTCTGGCAAATGATCTGGGAACAAAATACTAGAGTAATCATGATGGTTACAAGTTTGACTGAGAAAGGAGTGGTAAGTTATACTTGATCAAATGTGCAGCTCGTCAAATTTAAATATTTTAATATTAAATGTAAACAAAAAAAACTGTTTGTAAAAATAAGTAGTAAAGAAATTATAAATCCATGGGTTTTATCTCAAGTAATTATTCGATGAAATGTACATTATGTAGAACTTAGAATAAAAATAGTATTTATTTGTAACAATATGTAAAAATAATTAAGAATTAAATATTTGCGATAAAATGTTTTTTCTATGAAATTTAAATGTTGATATTAAATATATAATATTTTTATTCTTTTTTTTTTTTTATTAAATTGTATTTATTTTTTAAACGATAATTAAATAAATATTATTGAGTATAATTAAATATCGCGATTTCTCAAAAATGTATATATATATATAAATATAATTATAAAATACATCATACATCTAAATTCATTAATAATATTTTTAAAAAATATAGGAACTAACATTTGCTTAAAATATTATACTTCTTAACTGTTTTTTTTCTTTTTGTTTGTCGATATAATAATTTTTATTACTTTACTTTATTTTTTTTATCCATAAATGCTTATAATCTGCCGTATTGACGGCCGTTAAAAATTTGAATACAAATTTTACCTTATAAATACAATACCTTAATTATTAATTTAAAATTCGTATGATAAATTGTGACTCATATATAGGTTATAGACCCCTAGGGTTCAAAGCCTACGAGGATATATGTAGGAGAACAAATACGAAATCTCATAATTTTTTTAAATATCACAATAATTTTGTCGAATCATATGTTTAAAATGTTTCTCAAATACATTTTAGTAATGTATTAATATGAAACCTTGATTATGTGATGTTAGATAACAAAAATGCATTATAAACAATTTCCTAACAACCGAAAAATAATTTATTTAATTATGTAACCATAAATTGTTGACTATTATGTATGCATTCACTTAGAGCGGTAGTTCTTTTCTTTGTCTAAAGAATACTGATTGAATGTTTAAAATATATCTGGGACTTAATTTCATCCAATTAAAATGCTTCGTTTTTATCATACCATCTATAATTGTGTATTAATTATCTATAATTCACACGATTGATCATTGTAAATTTTGAAATCTGTTGAGCAAATTTAATTTAAATTGTAAAACCAAATTGTATTTATTAAAAATATAATTTAAAATTACTATGAAATTAATTAAGAAGAAAAAAGGTGGTCAAATTTAATCAGTTATATATTACATATATTAAATATGTGTACGTATTTTTGAATTATTTGTTTGTTGTGCCAAAATTATTTTTAATATGTTATGATTATCCCTGTAAACCTAAATGTGCATTATGTAGGTATGTATCATTATTTTATCGGAAATGTAAGAATAATTTCTTGTCGATCGTAATAAGCGTATTACGAGTATTTCCCTAAATATAATTAAGTACTTAATTTATCAGATTTGTTCGGATTGTGTAATACATATATATTGTATATTATTTTATATTTATATTCATGTGCTTTCATATTGACACCACTAGATATAGATAGCGGAAGCAAATAATATCCTATTGCATTTCTTAAATAAAAAAAAATATGTTTATATTCATGGATCCAAAATTCTTAAACATGGAAAGTTTAAATATGACAAAAGTTATAATTACATTATTTACGTTATTAATAATTTACACAATCCATTTTATTATTTCAATTATAAATTACTTATGACAATTTCTAAAATTCAAATTTATAAAAATTTTATTTTTCTTATTAGTATAATATTTACACAATTTTAAAATTTATTACATAAAACTGCATTTTTATTATTTCAATATTTTTTTGATCTTATTTATTTCTATAGTATTTATTTATTTTATTATTTATTTCATTAGTTCTAACTTTTTGTATTAAATTACATTATATTGGAAGTTACAGTTAATAGTGGTAATTTATTTTATTTAGTATTTAACTGTTACCATTTTATAACACGTTTCAGTACTAAAAATAATTTTTCACCTTCGTATGACATTCTAAAAATCGATAAATATTGTTTGTATGCTGTAATGAGATTTCCATCCATATTTTACATTTATAGTTTTTAGCAATAACTTTTTTTTTTCTATAAATAAACTTAATTTAAATATATTGCATATAACTATAATGAAAATATTTTAAGTATTAATTTACATATATACGATAAATAATTATATAAATTAATGAAATTGGACATTTATGATATACTTTTTTTTTAATTTACTTTGCATATAAAAACAAGTATTTATAAAACGAAAGAACTTTTATTATACAATTTCCAAAAATTTTCTTAACAATTAACAAGTGATCTACATTATTTTTAGTATAAATAATAAATCATGTGTTTAAAAGCGTAATATTTTAAAATATTTTTATACAACGTAAGTATTCAATAATAATTTAATTCTTATACTTCAAATATTTACTAATTATTTATGTTTTTTTCTTGCTCAACTGTTCCTTCATATTTTGTAGATATTAATCAAAAATGATACAATGTATACGAATATATACGATTTTATACACAATTGTAATATTTGTACCCTTAATACACCATAATGTTATTTACTTTTAATTATAATTACAATAAAATTTCACTTAAATTAAATATTAAGAAGTATAAAAATGTAATCGAATTTTTTTATTCCTTTTTAATATACAAATAATAGGTTAAAATATCAATTTAAATATGTCTGCGATTGTAAATTGAAACGAAATATTTAAACTGTGGTTGGTTATAATTATATTATAAATCTTAATCAATTTTCACACATAAAATCTTGTTAAAAAATAGTTTACATACTATAATTATTTAAAATTTTTCTATATACAGTTTAAAATTATTAATTGGTTTAGGAACATAGAAATGTGTGATGAATTCATTTTATATTGTTTTATTGTTTATTACTATATTTGTGTCTTATCAAAGTTATATACATTGTTATTTAATTTTTCTGACCTATTACAGTCTAAGTATTTAACTTTAATGTCAGTATATAATTATAATGAATACAAATCATTTTAGTTAAAAGTTATATTGAGATGTTTCACATGATAAAATTAAATTTTGTTGTGTTCGTTTAAATATTAAACTTAATAATTGAAATATATTAAATAAATTTAAATGTATTTCGGTTTATTTTTAGTCAAGGTTATTAACTCATATTTTAAAATTAAAGTAATGTATATTGATGATATTTTTAGGTTTTCTATACCTGTACGTGACCTGTATTTGAATTTATATTATTTTGTGATTTAAAAAATACTTTTTTTAATTTAAATAAAATATTTTTGGACTAATTAATTATAAATATTGGCATTTATTGAATTATGGGTGTGACTGTCACAGTGCGACAAAAACTTGTATACAATAATACATTTTCATTTAAATTTGATGTTAATGGTTTAAAAAACTCATAACATGTTGCATCATATTTTTATGTTATATGAAACACATATACAAAATTTACTGTATGTTTGTTATACCTTTATTAATTGATATTACCATTTACTTTTTACTTTTATTATACGGGTGTATAGCATAATGTTATTTTTAATAGCTGTAGAATTTATTATGATGTAACATGCAGTATGTTTTATATAATTTAAAACTAAAAATTATTTTATTAAACATTAATCATGCATATTTAAATATTCTTAAGCATTATTTTTATTATTTACGATTTACTTAAGTATTCAATATTTTAACATTCAAATTATTTTTCTATTCAGGAACGATGTGCTGATTATTTGCCACCTTCTGAAGTAGTAGATTGTCATCGGTTATTTGGTGATTATCAAGTAACATTGAAGAAGCGTGAAGTCAAAGATAAGTTAATCATATCAAATTTGCAGCTAAAGGCAAGTTCGATAATATAATATTTACGCTTACAAATATATAACTGTAGTGTAAATATCAAATACTCATATCACTGAAAGTATAAGAATATTTTTTATAGTTGAATATTGCTATAATCAAAGTACATTGTCAAGTTTATGTATTTAAACATATAAGTTATATTAAAGAGAAACTATAATGTTGAGATTACTACGATTTGAGAAAACAATAATTTAATTCTTTGGGAAGGACATCAGTCATGTAAATACATACGTAAAGTATAATTGAAAACAGGTATTCTGATAAGTAATATATAAATAGTAATATATTATAATAAAAAATTGAAGTGATTATAGTAGGTATCTATACGTCATATAAATTCGAACAGTAAAGTCAAACAGTAGTAAGCTAATATATAAAATTCAATTATTCGGCATTTATGTTCTTTAATTCACTTTTTTTTTGTTTGTACGAGTAATTTTTTAAGTGGCTAATATCATAAAACTTAAAAAGTGATTTGCTCATTCAAACATTTTATATTCTTCTTTCCAACTATCTATCAACAGATCAAAATAGTACGACTGAATAAAGCAATATGAGTACTGACGTATGGCTTTTAAATGCACCGAATCCATTGGTTTTACGTTTTAAAGGGACCATAAACGAACGAATATTCAATTGAATATTTAGGGGATTATTATTTATAGAGTATTATTTCCGGGATAACGTTATTTCTGATAGAAATATTGTTAAGATGTGGGTAAGGTCTTCATAATATTCGGACTGTATGCCTGATTCTATCCATATTACCACCAAACAAAATGATTCTTACTTACCTATATACAAAACAATATATAATAAACATGGCTCAGATTTAAATGTATTAAAAATCATACAATAATGCATTAAAAACAGCCAAAAATGCTATTGAAAAATAACTTGAACTTTTTTTTTTCATTTATTTTTTTTATTATACTAATAAATATATTTATTAGTATAATAGTTATAGTATATTAGTAAATTATTAGATAATTTAAATTTTTATTAAAAAATAATCTGAATACTGAAAATGTTAATTTATGACTGGCGAAGATGGTATTGACTGAGAAGCATATTTGAAGTGGCAAATATTGTCTGGTATTAATTCTGATATGTTTGTTAGAGAGGTTTATTTACCTTATAAAATGTTTGAATTTTTTTCTTTATTGCTTTTTCATAAATAGTTATATTATTTGAAATACAAATTTTGGCATCATTTACGACATTCATTTTTTTAGCTAAAGGTATAACTTTAGAAGTTATACAGCCTTGTATATTTCCATGGTTGGCTTTTATAAATGTTAAATTTGATTATTTTTCCTTGAAAATGGCATTTAATGTTCCGCTAATTTGATAGCTTTGGCATTTTTTTCTTTAAGTCCATTGATTACTGTTTTAACAAACTGAAAATATTCACAGCAGTATACTACAATTTTATCCAAGATTTCAACATGTCAGTATTGGTTGAGTTGGTAAAGAAAAAGTTGAGCCCATCAATATAAATTTCAAAACTCTAGAAGGTGCTTTTGAAAGTTTTTATTTACATTTGAAATTTGTTATATGTAAAAATACTATATAATATACTCGTATACTATACAAATATATACATTAAAATAAATAAAATGACCGATAACCATTAAAAAATGCTCTTATAATAAGAAAATATGGAAAAATGCAAAAAAAAAGCCGAGAATATGCATTATAAAAATTTCGGTTTTGAAGTGTCTGTTACATAAAATTAATTATGTGTTTGGAAAACATTGTTTAAGGTCATCCAAAAAAAGATGCATTTTACTTTGAAATTCGGGAACTAGTAATAAATATTGAATGGTCGACGATTCGCGATATTATTATTATAATGAAACTGTAACGTGATTGTTTTTCCGTATAGAACTTGGAGACAAATCTGTGGAGGGACGTGACTCACCTATGGTACGGTGGATGGCCAGTGCAGGGTGTTCCGTCTGATCCGGGTACAATATTAGCATTCCTGATGGAAGCCAGGTCGCACATGAAGACTAACAGTGGTCCGCATGTGGTGCATTGCAGTCCTGGCACGGGAAGGACGGGCACACTGATAGCTTGTGACATAGCCATCAGGGAATTCGAGTTGTCGCGTAGTGTCGACGTACCCAAAACGGTGTACGCGATTCGTCGTTGTAGGGCTGGAGCGGTTCAGACCCGGGACCAATACGCTCTGATCTATAAGGTAAGGCCTTTCATACAACTGTATTAATGAGTGTGCTCGTAGTTAGGTTCATGCATTAGTTTCTATTAATAAATGTGTTTCTCTTCTCTTAAGACAATAAGAAAAATTTTTTTTATTTATTTATTTGTGATCGTTTTTTTTAATTATTGCACAAAATATGTACTCAATTTTAAATAAAAAGAATAAAAAAGTACATATATACTGATACGATTATATAGACGGAATGTGAATCTATTGGTTCTTTTTCTATTTATGTCAGTACGGCTGTAGTTACTGTCGTTTAACTCTATATTAAGTATTCGTACCAGTTGCACTGTTCATTTCAGATTACAAAATTTGATGATTAAATTTGCAAAACATTATTTGATGTATTGTTGTTGTTACAATACCAAAAGTACACAAAATCAATGACAGGAGTAACAATAAAATTCGTTTTATTATAATAATAATTCGACGAGTAATACATTTGACTGTATGTGATTGTATGTGTGTTTCGTTTTAACTTTTAAATTGTATTCGAATTAGGGGGAAATTTACTTTTCAAAATAAAATTTTAAACTTACTGGGTAAGTTATTCTTATTTTGGGGATGTAGACAAATTCTTGCTCAGTTATAGTTTTGTTTTAATTTATCAGTCTATCAATTGTACTTATCAATTACGAATCATCGATTAAGAATTATTGCATCATTTTCAATTTAACATTTTCAAAGTTTTGGATATTTATGATGATATAATTTCATAATTTTAAAGTTTAAGGAATTAAATATTTTAATTTCATGAAGTTAATATTAAAATAATTATGCAAATTATAACATTTTAATCAATTATAAATAATTATATATGATAATGAAATTCATTAATTTTTTCAGGTGATAAATTTGTACGCAAGTAAACTCTCAGGAGGTGTATTGGATTCCATATAATGACCTCGTACTCATCGTATAATATCATGTTTATATAAATTATATTGTTAGTTATTTCATAATATTATCATACCTTTTATAACTATTAGTGAATATTGTATAGTATGGTGTCTCTCTTTTGTACGATATAAAATTATAAGTTTATGTGTTACTTTTTGAACAAAAAATTATTGTAAGTCTAGGACAATGTCCGAGTTCAAGCAGCGATTCTGTGATAAGAAATTATAGTTCATGATTAATTGTACTAAAAAATTAATCACTGATATAAGACACTTTGAAAAAGACAGTTAAATTTAAACAATTGAAGACTTTATATTCTTTTATAATTATATTTTTTTAGTACTACCTGCATCTAGGTGTACAAAATACTTTGTTTTTATAAATGCAGTCATGTTTTTCATACGAATTCTTGCAAAATGATTAATCTATGAAGTTTTAATATTTTAAATTGATCATGAATATTTTTTTTATTCATTCAAACTTGTATATTATAATTGTTATTATAATCTGAAGGTGTTTCTTTGAACTATGTTGACACCATACATCGCATAAGTTATTATAGTTTTTATTATGATTATAACCGTTGGCTAGTTTTTCATGGCAATTTTATAATAATCTATGTGTATTGTGTTTGTTTTCTATTTGTATAGAACAATAATGAAAGTTCCTCTTTACATATTTACTTTCGCATTGTCGGTATTTATACAAATATATCTACTATTGTATAGTAATAAGTCGAATATGCGCCTAATTATAATATTATATACCACATACATAAATATTTATATAAAATACTTAATATATTATTTATATGTTTTAAATTATCATGTCCTTTGTATGACAGTTCTTTCTATGTACAATAATAGCGTATCGTTATGGGATGATCTTCCCGGAGATTTGTGTTTCAAACACTGGTGAGAATAACAGATGTATAAGATATATGACATAGTCTATGTCACCGGAGAATGGCGTAAATATTTTACGGCTCAACGATCATAAATCAGAAGGTTTTTGCTTGACTTCCTATGTGACACGAGTTTGTCGAATTTGTCGGCACGGTTGTCGCATTCGTTAAATTTTTCCATAATAACGAAACAGTTAATATCCGTTAGAATTACATGTGTCGTACTATGTTGACGTTAAATATTTTTGTCAATTACTTCTGTATATTATATTCTTTTTCTTCTCGTTCTTCTCGTGAATTTAGTAAGCAAAAATGTGTTCATTGGTCGCTCGTTGAATACAAATGTTACGAGAAATATATTGTTTTTAATATTTTTGTTTATTTTATATTTAGTTAATTTTCTATATTAAGAATTAGTTATTCCTTGTTTAAAAATCGAGAGTAATTTTTATACCTAGTTTAAAATAATATACTTTATATGTGGAGACTATCTCACACTGAAAATAAGTGTATTTATATGTACGAGTATATATAATAAGGTATTTTTCCAGTATTGTGTCTGTCTTTGTAATGAAATCCATTCTTTAGGCCCGAATTTTAATGTTATAACTTTCAGAGGTTTATACACTAGCAATCTGAGCTCTCATACAAATCGTTTTGATTTAAATGAACTATGCGTTCATGACTCGTTTACCGTGTACAGCGTATAATGATAATGATAAAACGATTTTATCGGTTTTATGGTTTTATTAAAACCTTCTTAAATATATTATAATACGAATACTAAATAATATATGAATGTGAATATGAGTAGATATTGATATCTTATACTGTTTTTATTAAAATTTTGTATAATATTATGAATATTATGAGATATTTAGAAAAAAAAATGTTTTATTAAAGAAAACCAATTAAATTATCTAATAAATAAAAAAATAAAAATAAAAATACCAGTTATGACATTATATTTATAATTGTTGTTTTTTTTTTTTTGTTCAATAGTAATGTCAAAATAATTATACTATTAAAGATATTTAAGATTATTTAAGAATAGCCCACAAGGACAGTTACAGAAATATAAGACGCGTGTGCGTGAAGATTTGTTTAATAATAATTGAAACGAGTTCTTTTACTGATGCCGAACCGCATGAAGTTGGTGTTGTCCATACCAGTGTCAGTGTTCTTTCTACGATTCATCAGCACTGTCAGTAGTTCGGCTGCAGTTGGCTTCCAGACTGGTTCGACTGTAATTTAAACGGTAAAAAGCCGATTACCGTACATATTATTTATTATTTTAATATATTACAGTATTATTTAATAAGAAAAATATGGCTGTTTAAAGTATAATTTTTTTAATTTATTTTTTATTACTATCAAAACCTTTTTAAATTTCATATGTGCGCCCTTGGGAGTTGTTTGTGTGTGTATTAGAGTGTGTGTGTGTAATCACAGATAGATGTACAAAAAAAAAAAAAAAACTTGCATTAGTATTGACAGTTTATTTCGCGTATGAATAAGATGATTTAATGTCACATTCAATTTATAGTTGTTGATCACGTTTGATCATTCGTCTGATATTTATTATTTTATATAACATAAAACATTGTTTCTTTCTCGTCAAAAAGCCACTAGTCAATATTTTTAGAAACGAAAATAATATGAATATTTTATTTGCACTATGTGACACAAACAAACGCTGTCACAGTTTGGTTTGTTTTTAAGTACAATGATTAGGATGCTCTGTAATAATAAAAACCCGTGTTTTATGGTCTATTATTATTTAAGAATTTTTAAAAAAACAACTTTATCACAGGTAAAATAATTTTTCAGAAAAATATGTTACCGAATAAAACTCACAATAAAAAATAGCACAGCCCAAATTTTAAATAGTTGAAGACCTTATAGTTTTTAATAAAAATTACAATGAAACATCGAATAGTTATTACCTTTTTTGATATTGTTTTAAATTTAAATTTTTACTCCGGTATTTAATTATTAGTATTCCAATATTTCTTATGCTTATAGTATCTGTAGGAGATTTTGCTAGGCAATTCAACATACTTTTATGTAAATGAGATGGATGATCAACATCAGTAAACGTTTTAATTTTAGAAATTATACCTATTCCTTACGCGATAAAAACTAAAATAATATTTTTATAACTACATTTTTAAATTAAAAATATAAATAAATAATTATGCCAGAGTCTAATTATTAATAATAAACAACTGTTTTGTTGAGTAGCTTTAACTTTTACCATATGATTTTTTGTGAAATAATATACACATAGTCCAAAATTAATATAATTCAGAAAAAAAATGCATAAAGAATACAAATTATGTAATATAAAATAATATGACTAAGGAGTTAATGAAGTTTGATTATTAAAATTATTTCAATAAATTATCTAAATTGTATATAGGTTATACATTATTAAAAAATAAACTGTATCTTTATCATAGATTTAATAATATTGTAGATCGGATAACCATGGCACATTGGAATTCATCCACAATCAAATACCTAGTAAAAACATTTTTTTAAAACAATTTATTCTAATATTGACTCAAACAGTACACATATAATAATTAGTTTTTAACTTACAGTTTTAACTTGTATTCGATTTCCTAAATAGTTCGTATAAATATTTTAGTATTGGTTATTTAACGATATTTTTTTAAAAAAACATTTTCCTCCTAGTAAAATATTTAATACTTGAAATTTTTTTACAATATTCAATTTATTGCAAAATGGTATGAAAAAGAAACACAGTAGCTTGTGCTATAAAAAGGTCAAATTTTTATTAAAGCATATTAGACGAATACGTGCACATAAATTGAAATGAATATCTCTATACAAAAATAGGATAACACGAAACAAAATGTCAAGTTATTTCTCTTACGAATAGTTAAACAAAAATCAACTGAAATAAATGAAATCATAAATTCATTTTTGATCTTCATTGAATTCTCGGTTATATAACGTTTGGGTTTTCGAGTTATCTCGTATTAAGTGATAAAAAATGGTGCATCTCTCAAGGTTGTACCAAATAATCAAGAACTATAAATCGTTATTTTCTATTTTTGTTTCCCAATCGAAAAATTCTATTATTTGGTACATTTATTGCTTCTATATTACTACGTAAGTAGCTGTCATATTGCGTGCTGATACTAGAAGTTGTGTTTAGATTTAAAATTTTGATAAAAACTCAATTATTTTTAACAAGTATTTGCACCAGAAAGTTGTTTAAATTCATCTTTAATTTATTTTCCAAGTTTCGAGGAAATATACTTTATAATCTTTTAAAATATTACATCAATAATGAGTTTTACAGATGAAAATTATAATGCATTTACATTTTTGGTGCTAAAAAAACCAAATTTTATCGGCAATATTTTCTGTAGATGTCTGTGTTATATAAATGTAGAAAACCAAAATTATAACAATATATATATATATATATATATAACTAATTAATTAATTTAATTGTATTCGCCGGGCACATTAATACACATACACAAACAATAGCATTAAATCACTACTCGATCGTTTGAATAAAAAATTATTTTTTGTGTAAATTTGATTTATAATGTATAGTAATATATATAGTATAATATTTATTTACATTTGGTTAAAAATATTTAGTATAATTATATTGTAATATGTACCTATTTGATTACAAGTCAGACGTCATACATTCTATTTATCAGTTACGCTACTTGTTTCTATTCATTAAACCGCTTCCATAATAAAAACCATTTAATTTTTATGTTTACGAAAAACCAAAAAACCTACAACTATTTAAATTATTTTTTGAATAAACAAATAACGAGTACCCATAGACATAATATTTTTGTAAATATAATTAAATTATATGAAACTAAGTCTTATAAAAGGACTCCGAATCAGATGGAAGGACGCAGTAAAAAAAATATTTAATAATGATCCATGAAAATATGTAACTAGGGGATGTGAAGGATAGGGATTGATGGAATGGAATATTAATGGCCCCGATGGACGTAAATAGTCCGCGAAGCTGTTAATTAAAAGAAGAAGAAGAAACTAAGTGTTAATTATTATCGACAATTGAAAGCATTGCAATGGGTGTAAGTGAATATGATGAGAATAAGCGACAAGAAAGGAAAATTATTCTTAGCCCTTTTACAGATGGTTCATTAAGGTTAGTTCAATTTTGGCAGCCATATAAGTTGCTGTTGTATCGAATTCGCTTCAGCGATAGAATCTAATAAAATTGTTCAAAACCGAAATTTTGTTATTAAAACGCTAATTTAAAGAAATGTCTATTGTAAATTATCAACTAAACGAATGTATTCATTTTGTAAAATACACGAAAAGTATAAGAATTATTCATTACCATTTTAGTAAATTCGAAAATGTTAAAAGTGAAGTGTAATTTTTGTTCTTAGCTTTTGCCATGTTTTATGTACAGTGATAAAATATTATCGTCCTAAATTCGATAACAGAATATAATATTTGTTTTTCGAGTTAAAAAGCATTAGTAGAAAATGAAATCCGAAAAATAGTTAAGTGTCAGGGGCATTTGATGATGACGCCGTTTCCGGCTGTTACTTTCACTTAGTCAAAATAAAGGGGGTGGAAAAATTGTAAGACTGTATTCTATTATGTCCTTTTCTCATCTTCTGAACTTTTTTATTGTCAGTCCATCGACCTACTGGATTGTATGCAATTCAATCATAATTCTATATTCATCACGCAAATAAGCCGTTTTTCCTGCTCAGTATTTTCTAGGATTGCCTCGAAATACGACTACTATACTTATTGACGTTAAAATAACACCCCTATAGTCGTATGCATTATTCACAATGTACCTTAGAGTTTGATCGAACAATAATTATTTTTATTTAGAACACGAGTAGTTATTTTATCGTAACACGGCGACGTGTTATTATTTTAACGCTTTGATATTAATATAATATAATAATCGAGTGGGCGAAATTCGTCCGGAATAATTGTCAATAATTTTGTACGATTTGTTGGTGGCACACTCACGCGTATGTCACGCACACGCTCGTATTCGCGTGCATGACATACAGCTCGAGATAACAGAAGTATCTCATCCGGACGTTAAAATGTATACGATATTATCAGAATTCGTAAGTTATAGCTCAAAAAGAGGTCATGATAAGCGTTCGAATTTGTATTAAAAATGTTAAAATATGCAAACAAATTATAAATTTCATTATTACTTTTATCATAATACATTTTTTGATTTTATATAATTATTTGAATTTTTCTTCTTTCTGGTGACAATAAAACACGCATGAATTATCATCTGAACATATCGAAATACGTAAATATATGTAAAAAAAATGAATTTCGAATTTCATTTCATGGTTATCTGGTACGGATTCATAATGTACTGATAGAAATGTCTTGGACTTCTTTAAACGAATACACAAGTCACGAATCTCCTCATCATTAGGATGATATTATAAGATTTATGTAGACTATGAGAGTATATTACATCGGTTTCCGTCGTCGTTCACGTAGTTTCTGTTGGCGATCATCGCGTACGGTAGCACTACACCTGCCGTCTGGCTGGCCCTCAACCTGGCCACTGGGTGATAAGGTACCGCATATCTCTTGTGGTTCAGTTGGTACGTCAGATAGTTCGGAGTGTCCGCGAAAATCCTCTCGTCTAAACGGCTGTCCTCCCAGGGCGACGGATCTGACAATCCTTCAGACACATCATCTGTAACACACACAATAGAGTTTGAAATATATTTATCATGTAACACAATTAAACTAATGTTACGCTTGTGTTGCGATACAATTATAAAATATTTATTTGCTATTTTTTCTGTACCAATGTTTCGAGTACATTAATTTTGTGCAATTATGGTTGGTTGTACATATTAAATAAAATATCGAAGAATAACAATTTGTTTAAGGTACATTTTTTTTACGTACCATTCATTTTTATTGCATCAAAAATATTTTTAATTTTATTGTACAATAAATCAACTTGTAAAATATAATTCGAATAAATATATTTTTGGTGTCAAAGTAATGTATAATTTCATATTTTGTAAATTAAATTAGGTTAAATTAGGTTAGTTAGATTTAATTATAATTAAACTATTCATTACAATTTAACATAGTGTAATCATAACTTTCAATTATTGTTTCATTTTGCAACCAACCGGCTTTTTATTTAAATCATGAAGTACTGTTTAGAAATGCTTTCAACAGACATTTATCTTTTATCTCAGTGTACATGTCGAATATTATAATCAAGGAATTACTAAAAAATGAACGTATTAAAAATAAAATGTGTTCCATTATAGCATTAATTTTAATAAAGGCTGTGAATACAGGTATGAAAGGACAGTTTTCATAATTTTAAGGAATGTTAACTAACCTAACGTAAGCAACTTCTCATACACTTATCATTGGTCGTTTTTGTTATGACTAGAGCAAGGACTTTCATGCATTTGCATATTTTTTCTGGTTCAATTTATCGTATGCTTGTTAAGTACAAAATTCATTTCATAACGTTTATGATGAAATACTCAAAGTTTTTAATGTATATTTTTGCATATTTGGACATTTTTTAGTTTAAGGGGCATATTTTTGATTATAAGAGCATATTTTAAGCTTTTAGTGCATATTTTGATGGTTTATCGAAAATCAAGCTCTTTGGTGAATATTTTTCATGAACTAATGTCAACAATTGTTATAAACTCATAAAGACGATAAAGATAAATGTTATCTTGAAATAATAATAATGGTTAGTAGGTATTTATTATGTCTATTTTTGTATTTTTAACGAGTAGTAGGTACGTGGTATAAAAACGATAGTATCAAGTGTCTATAGTCAGTGGGTAGATTAGATTCGCATTAGTTCTAGAACATTCATCGCGTGTGTGTTATAGTTTTGTATGTTTAATTTTCATATAACGAACATTTGTTTAATTTTTGTCACTCTATCAATATGCTAAAAGAAAAATCGACAAAAACTTATCGTTTGCGTAATTTTGTAATCGAGTTTGGTGAATCTGTATTTTCAACTGATAATCTTATTTTATTTTGTAAAATCTGTAACGTGAAAGTAGCAAGCAAAAAACGTTTTAGTATCATACAACACCTAAAAACTGAAAAACACATCAGAAGTGCAGCACGTTTAGAAAACAATAAAACAAATAATGTGCAACAATTGGTTACAAATCAAAAATCAAAACTATCGGAATTCAATTCAGATTTATGTCAAACTTTGCTATCTGCAAGTATACCACTTTATAAACTAAAAAAACACTCATTTTAAGAATTTTTTAGAAAAATATATGCAAAGAGATATACCTGACGAATCGACACTTCGAAAATATTATGTAAACGATTGTTACAATCAGACAATCAGACAATGGATAAAATAAGGGTCACTGTCCAGGATAAAAAAATATGGGTGTCAATTGATGAGACTACCAACAGCAATGGAAGGTATGTAGCTAATGTAATAATTGGTACACTAGAAATTGATTGTCCTGGAGAAATTATGTTGTTGACATCTGAGGTGTTGGAAAAAGTTAATCACTCGACAAGAGCAAAGTTATTTGATAAATCAATAGCTTTATTATGGCCCAACGGTGTTCAGCATAACGATGTTTTACTTTTTGTTAGTGACGCAGCACCATATATGGTTAAATCGGCATCTGTAATAAAAGTTTTTTTATTCTAAAATGGTCCACATTACATGTTTGGCTCATGGTCTTTACAGGGTTGCAGAGGAGGTTTGTAACATGTTTCCAAAAGTAGACAAACTAATTTCAAATGTTAAAAAAAACTTTTTTAAAAGCACCATATCGAGTCCAAATTTTTAAAAACGAAGCTCCTGAAGTAATGCTCCCCCTGAACCTATAATTACTCGTTGAGAGACGTGGTTAGATGCAACAGACTATTATTGTAAACATATACAAAGCATTCCAAATGTTTTTATGAAGTTGGATGACGATTCAGCTTCTATATTAAAAGTAAAAAATATTTTGGATGACAATTAGACGCAAACGTGATTTGTATTACAGCCAAGTTTGGAATTATATCTAAATCGATTACCCAGCTTGAAAAACGTGGATTAAAACTAGTCGATTAAATTAACATTGTAAACAGAATGATAGACGATATGAACATAATTGATACACACTCGAAGAGTATAAAATCAGTAGTGGAAAAACTTAAAAAAGTAATAGAAAAAAACAAAGGTTTCAATACGCTTCGTATAATTTCAAATATTTTAAATGACACTGAGGAAAACATTGATGAATTAGGAGATTTGAATGCTAGTGAAATGGTTTACTTCAAATATGCACCGATCACGTCAATGGACGTCGAACGAAGTTTTTCGCGATATAAGAACTTGCTGACAAATAAAAGACGTTCTCTGCTATTTGAAAATATCAAAGAAATGTTAATAATTCAGTGCAATTCTAATTTAGGTAAGGTAAATATTTGAGAATAATTCAACAATTATTTTAACATACCTTTTTTGTGCAAAATAATAATTAAGAAGAATAGGATCCAACATTACATACATATTATAACTTATATTTTATATAGAATAATAATAAAATTAATTTTTTTAAGGGCATATTTAATCGCATATTTTTAATTTTTTAATGCATAAGTGCATATTTTTAAATGCATATTTGATGATTTTTTAGTGCATGAAAGTCTTTGCTCTAGTTATGACAATTGTATACTTGCGAATAAACATTATTAAAAGTATTATAAATCTGGTTTTGAAAATGTATACATGTTACTGTCGTGATAAAATCTCAGATTTAAAATTATTTTCAGTTTCTTATTCGTCTTACAATGATTAAAGACATGAGGTTAATGATGGTAGGATTTTAATATAGTAATATAAATATACATGTATAGTAATTTTAATAATATAGTAAAATATAAATTCATCAAATATTTTTACAAATTTAATGATTGTATTTTATGAGTACTATGATATATAACTGAAAAAAGTTATTCTATTTATTTTAGATATCTAATTATTAAGAAATAAACATAAATGTGTACTTGTTTTGTTTGGTGGTTTGGAAAAAGATCTTTTTTATGTACGGTACGCTGTTCTGTAGTGTAACATACTTGTGTGGACATTTATTTTCATAAACCGATTAATGTGAATTTATTGTGATAACAGGATTGTATAAATATTATATTTGTTTCTACAGTGCAGCGTGACATAGTTTTCATCGACTTATTCACATTTTCGATTTTGTACCACGGAGCTCTCCGTGAAATATAATTTTATAAATCTTAATTTTATTTTTGCTAAATTCAGAGGAGTTCAACTTAGGAGCAGTTAAGTCTTTTTAAGTCCACTTCTTGCCAAGTTATAGAGTATATTTAAAATCTTATTCAGATTATATCATAGATATCTATACTCGGTTGATCTACACCGATGACTATCAACCTGGGGGTGCGCAAAATTTCCGAGGAGGCTTGATCATTTATAAAAACTATGAAACATGCAAACATTTTTAGAAGCTTCAACCTACTAACTAGTGGCTATTCCTATTTTATTCTAGTTGAGACACAAAATATTGTATACGGGTAATAGAAACATAAAAAAATAAAATATTGAATAGTTACTCATTTTTATTTTATTTTAGTTATATAAATTCATTCCTTTATTTCATTTATTACCTACAAAATACGGTTTTCCCCAATAACGATAGTCTGTAAATATTCCAGACTATTCTTACATACCAACAAAATAAATATTATTTGTAAATATCAAACATTAAAATACATAATTTATTTTGACGTCTGGTTCAGTTTGATTACGTCCAGGCGGGGCTTAAGCCCCTCCAATTCCTCTCCAATATTCATCTAGGATCAAAATTATCGAATTTATTTATTTAACCAAACATTAAAAATTAATTAAAATTTAACAGTGCCTCAAAACTTTTATTAATTTATATTTAGTATAAATATAAATAATATAAAGAATATAATAAATACAAATAATATTAGTATCTTTTTTAGTAAAAAGCTTAAAACGTAATATTTAAATAAGTTAATATAATATTAAAATAAACTTTGTTTTATATATTTTAAATTTTAATACAATTTTTTTCCTCTAAAGATAAATTTATTCAAATTTATTGAAAAGTTTATTATTTAATGATTAATACAATCATTTTTCTTTAATCTTATAGTAGCGAGGGAGAGGGTTACCTCATACAATAATATAAAAAGTGTCACGGACACCAAAAAGTTGAGATCATATGATCTAAATTATGGAATAAGTATGTTAATTTATTACAGAGAGAACGAGGTAATCAATAAATTAAAATTACCCAATTGATTCCTGAAACATCAGTATATACATATGAAATTTCAGGTTTTCTTGTATTTAAACGAAGGATATATAGCAGATAGATATACTGTATTTGACACCACGAGCAAACGATTTACTCGGAGCATCTGAGTTGAGTCTCGAGTACTAGTGGCTAACCGCAGATAGTGTACTAGTTGGGTACCGGATTTTTGTAGATATTACACTAGTTAGATCCTGAATTATTTTAGGTGTTACATTAGTTCCTGAATATTTTTTGGTAAGTACTACATTATACTAACATTTTCCTTCTCATTTTAATAGACTTAGGATTGTTTATATTCTATTTAGATAACAGGTATGGTGAAAAGTGTATTTATAGTTTTTTTTTTGTATAGTTTCTTTTCCATTAAAATATAAATTATTACAATTGTATTGGTAAAAATATTAAAATTGTATTAATATTATTGTATAATATTTTTATTTCACTATACTAACTTTCCAATACTATTATATACAAATATTATATAAATCATAGAATTTTAAAAAAATATGGTCCTGTGGTCTAAATAGATCATAGACATTTCTAAGTCTATTAAAATATTAAGGAAAATGTTAGTATAATGTAGTACTTACCAAAAAATATTCAGGAACTAGTGTATACCTAAAATAATTCAGGACCCAACTAGTGTAGTACCTAAGGTAATTCGGGACCTAACTAGTGTAGTAATTTTAAATTCGGGACCCAATTCGGATGCAGCCGATTTACTTAACCAATGATAGATTGTTTCACGGGTGGTCTTTTGTCTGATAAACGTATTATAAGTTTGCTAAGGCAGCGACAATATGTCGGTCTTATAAACAGACCAAATTAATCGTGTCAATTCGCGTACTTTATATCCGATCGATATATATTTATAACACAATTTCATTGCACGCTAGTAATCGAATGTGTCCATCCGTGACAATTCGAAACTAACGACTTCGAGCTGTGAGTAGTGTATTGTAAATCATTTGTAATTGTAAATAAGTTATAAACAATTTTATTTTTCAACAACGTACCTGCCGACTACTGATTTTGATTAATTCCCCACCATCACAAGAACTGAATCAATAAACATGATGACTAAATGGCTATAGCTATGATAAGAATTTCCTTGAGAATATTTGCGTTAAAATATACAAGGAGCTAGGAGGAAGGGCGTAGAAAAAATATGCTGAGGAATATCGAAAATATATCGTAGATATAAAGTATCTCCGAAGAGAATAAGTTTATTAATATTGTTATTATTCTTTATATTGCATCAATAGGAAGTAACAAATTGTATTCATACGAAGGGGAGTATGTATGTTATGAGTTGTGGTTAATTATTTTATTAACATCAATTTAAATATAGTATGAAATTTTAAATAATCATTTTGTTCTTAGAAATCTTAAAATTTGTGATTCATAATATTTCATGATCAAACATTATATTTGTCTTATTTGTCTATATCTTTATTGTAATGTTTAGAAAACTGAGTTTACATTGAGCTCGATTACTCTTTTTGAATTAAAAGATTTATCATTGAATTGATATTTGACAACCTACCTAAGCCCTATCCCAAACCTTATTCACACCCCAAACCTGTGTTCAATTGATCTTATTTTATTTGCTTACTCGAAAATAATTCTTAGAATAATAGAAAACAAACATTGTGGACTGACCAATTTATCATTAAATTTCCAATTCACTTTAAAAATATGACGTTCCCAAATGTTAAAAAAAAAAAAACTTCTTAATACTGATATAAATGTTTGAATAATTTATTAATGCGATTTTAAAGAAAAACCCTGTTCGGTCAACAAATATTAGTTCGTTATAGTGATTTTGTTTTAATAAAATAAAAAAGCGAAATAATCTAATCTTCCGGAGATTTTGATTTCAGTGATATTTAATCATGATGATTAATACTTAACTTACACTATTTATAGTTTATACCTTTTAGTTATAAGATTCAGTAAAAAATCAACCAATACAGCTGTTGAATATTTTAAATAAAAATAAAACTTTGAAGTAATTTTATACTTTTCCGTTGGCTGATGACTAAACAAATGCAATTATATCCTATTTACCTGCACGTTTTTCTATTCTATTTCATTTATCCCTGCACTTAACTCACAATATTTTAATTTTTCATCAAAACTTTTTTTGGTCATGATTTTTTCATTAGTCGAAAGATAAATCATAAAAAGTCAACATATTTTTATTTTTGTTTTTAATTTCGCAGTCACGAATCACAAAAAAAGATAAATATAATACACATATATCAAGTGGTTACGATTTATTTGCTTTGTAGATAATTTTCAGCATCAAATTTCAAGTTCAGGTAGTTAGGGAAAAATCTTTTTTCTTCCGGGGTCCTAATTTTTTCCTTTCATAATGTTCTAGTTTTTACTACCAGCTGTATTATATTTTATTGATAATTTTATATTGTTAAGGTAACATTACGATATTCATTTTTGAATTTTAATTTTTTTTTCTTTCCAAATTCATCATGAGCATAATATACTCGTAACCCTACCCAAAAATAATCTCAAATTAATTGAGGCAAAAGTTTTTATTTAACATATTTTTTTATAGTTCGTTAAAATATTTGATATTGTGTGCAATAGTAAATATATTCATAAAATATAATAATAATTGTATGCAACTTCTTATGCCCACGAATAAATTATACACAGTATAGTATCTATTATGCACTTGTGCGATTGATGAGTGCACAAACGATATAAATAATAAATAACGTAATATTAGTAATGCAGTATACATTCGGAATATACGAAAGTAAATTTAAAATTGTGTGTTTTGTGTTATTATTATTTATTTTATTATACCACTGTCACAGGTGAATCGTAATCGTTCATTATACAAATAGTTACATGGTTTTAATTTAAGTCGTCCAAGCCGATTTCGTTTTTTTTCGTGCGCCGTCAAATATAACACACGTACGTACACGAAATCGAACAACTGCAATACTGCTATTATAATGCGTACAACATACGTTTTCGCAAGTCCCTCGATCGATTTAGTATGAATAAATAACTCGAAATGTATTGGAAATAAAACCGATTAAGAGGATACCGAATATATATAATACACTATAGCAAACGTATTGAGTACCGAACGATTTGTTGTGTCACGGTAAGGTTGATGTAATGGTAC